CAATTATCAATACAATAATTTACTACTACTATCTAAGAAGACATTTAATATAAAACTAAATTTAGTTCTTCTTTTCAGCATCCTTCTTAAGAACACCCATGAAAGCATCCTTTTCTTCAGCGGTTTGGAAGCGACCGTGACCGAATTTAGAGGCGGTATCAATGAACTTAAGGTTAACGGATTCAGTGGCTTGGCGACTGGCGTAAGTAAGAACAGACTTACGAAGAGTAATAACTCTCTTCTTAACACCTGGGCAGGAACCCTTGATCATAACGAAATCTTCCTTAACAATACCGTAGTGTGGGAAACCACCCATTGGGGTAATCTTCTTTTCAGTGATATCGAATTCAGTGGAAGCACTCTTAGCATCACTACCATTGGCAATACGGTAGATCTTCTTGTTCATTTCAGTACGGTGGTGGTAACCATCTTGACCAGAACGAGCAACAGAGAACATAACGTGACTTGGATGCCAGGCACCAATACAAGCAACCTTACGAAGACCACGGTGAGTCTTACGTGGAAGTCTGGTAGTACCCCAACGGTGAGTAACACCTTCGTAACCGTGACCCTTAGTAACAGCAATGGTATCAATAACTTCACCTTCAGCGAAGACAGACTTAACATCAATAGTCTTTTCGAAGTTAGCCTTAGCGAAATCAACCTTATCGGCAACAGAACCACCGTTTAATTGAATTTCCATAAGGTGAGCCTTCTTTTGACCAATGTTAACCTTACTGATTTGGGTGTGGGCAAGAACACGAACAACGGTACAGTACTTCTTAATTCTTTCTAATTCTCTTTCAATTGGCTTGGCAGCTTCAGCGTATTTCTTGGCGTACTTAGTGAAAGCCTTCTTCTTAGAGTGGTACCAGTTCTTGTAGAAACGACGTTTGACTTCATCGGAAAGATGTTCAGACCAGACAGTGGTTAAACTACGAAGACCACGTGGGGTTTCAATGTAACCAACAACACCAACAATAACCATTGGTGGAGTTTCAATGATGGTAACGGCTTCAACAACTTCTTCGGTCTTGTTTAATTTAGAACCTGGACGTTCAATATCACGAACAACGTGAGTCATACCAGCCTTGTAACCAAGGAAAGCAGTAAGATGAACATTCTTCTTGGAGTCATCCTTTGGGAAAGTCTTAACCTTACCTCTGTGGCGGGCAGCACGCTTACGTGGTAAGAAACCAAGGGAACCGTGACGTGGACACTCGTACTTACGATGAGACATGTTATCG